TGTCGTTTACTTTTTATTTCATAATCATACACTGAGCTCTGCGATCCAGCTGGACCGGGAGGCGGGGAGGACAACATGGAGCCCAGGGAGCTGCAGCCAGAGCACGAAGGTGGCCGGACGTCCGAAGCAGATGGGGGAGGGGAGCTCTCAGAGCGACAGAAGGAATGGTCGGTGGTGAAGATAAAACCCAAGTCAGACGGACGAGAGGCGTCCACAGTGAGCATCGTGGTCTGCTGCTGGTCTTGCCCTCCCTGGGCCCCCGCTCCATGGCTGGCTCCCCCTCCATGCCGCTGCTCACCTGGCGAAGACCACACTCCTGCCACCCGCCCTCTTGGGCTTGGGGGTGCAGAGAAAAACTGGGGACCCTTGTGCTGGGCCCTGCATTGCCATGGACAGATGTGCTTCAGGATGAAATTCTTGTCATCAAATTTCTCCCCGTAGACGGACTTGCCTCCTGTGCCATCGTGGGGGTGAGGTCACCAGCTGGCACCTGAAAGCGGGGACCTCTGTAACCAGATCCTTCCTCCCCAGGGCTGAGGGCGGAGGGCGTTCTGCTGGCTCTGGGACTTTGTCTGCAGACAGCCCGCGGGCTCGCATGGGCAGCCATGTGGAAGGACACGGTGGGTTCCCCTTGGCTGGGCACGGCCGGCCCCAGGCGGTGGCGTCTGCTGGGCCCCCAGAGGCCTGGCTCCGGTCTGGAGGCTCAGCGTGACCCAGCCCTTCCTCAGGCAGCTCTGCCCGCAGGCTCCTGGTCTGCCTCCCCACCAGCCCCTGCTCTGCCCAAGACCTGCCTCCACTCAGCACAGGCCCTAAGCAAACTGCGTTCACAAAGGAATGAGTTCAAAGACCTGCCCATCCTCAAGGCCAAGTTCAAACTTTAGATTATTTACAAATCCTTTCCTGACCAGCACGGCCTGAAGGTACGAAGGCTCAATACAGACTCATTACCGTCCTGCCCTCACAGAGCCCAGAGCCCGGGGGCTGCTCAATGCTGAGACGTAACTGTTTTGTACAGACAAACGCATGGATGCAGAGAACAGAATGATGGTCGTCGGTGGGAGGAGGGGCTGGGGGAGGAGTGGAAAAGGTGAAAGGGATTGAGTACCAGTTGCCAGTTAGGAAAACAGTCACAGGAGGTAATGCACAGCACAGGGAATACAGTTAATGTCGTAAAAACTATGTCTGATGCCAGATGGGAACGGATTTCTCCGGGTGATCCCTCCATTCGTAAGTTACATAAATATCTAATCACTTGTCGTACTCCTGAAACTAGTACAATATTGCACGTCAGCTGCAATTGAAAAAGAAAAAAAAAAGTCACCCTGCTGTTATGGTTATACATGTGTACTGAGCGCCCACGAGGCTCCAAGCACCAGCTGAGGGACCCTTTGTGTTCTCATTGGGCCCCAATGGCCTATTTTATAAGGAAAAGAAAACAAAGACTCTGGAAAGTTCCTAGTAAGTTGGTTTCCATGGCTATTTGGATAAGCAACAGAACCTGGGTTCACACCCACCTGAGTCGGGGCTCCCCCTGCCCCTCCCCAGCCTCCCAGCGTGAGGAAGAGGATGTAGGAACCTTGGGCTTTAGGAAGGGAGGAGGAAGGCATCCCGGGTGAAAGGAGCGGTGCAGGTGAGTCTAGGAGTGGAGCCGGAGAACAGGTTTAGTGGCAAGGACAGCGGTGAGCCTGTCAGTGCCTCAGACACAGTCCTGTCCTTCCAGGGAGTTCGGTGTCCGTGAGGCTCTGAGCCTGAGAAGCTGGTGGTCTCAGACCACGAGCAGCCCTCCCTCGCTGTCACTGAAAAGCTAGCAGGTCCCCTGGCTGGTGTGGCTCAGTGGGTAAAGCCTTGGCCGGCAGACTGAAGGGTCCAGGGTTCGATTCTGGTCAAGGGCATATGCCTGGTTGTGGGCTCGATCCCCAGTTAGAGGGAGTGCAGGAGGCAGCCGGTGAGTGATTCTCTCTCATCGTGGATGTTTCTCTCTCTCCCTCTCCCTTCCTCTGAATTAATAAATATATATATTAAAAAGAAAAGAAAAGCTAGCAGGTGCCCTTTCCTGTTTATCAAAGCTCCTTGCCACTGCCAGGTTCCTTCCTTCCTTCCTTCCTTCATTTCTTCCTTCCTTCCTTCTATCTTTCCTTCCTTCCTTCCCAGGGTCCTTCCCTCCCGGACCACGCCCCTCACAAAGCCTGTGAAGATCATCAGAGCACACTGAGGTGTGCTGCACAAAGCGCCTTCTCCCATCCAGTCCTGGAACACTAGGAAGCAGTGCCATTGTGCCTGCTGGACTGTGGGAATGGAGACAGAGAGGAAGAATCGTCCGCTCAGGAGCGCAGGCTCCCAGTCCCAGCACCCAGACCCTTAATCCTGCAGCCACGACTCCAGCCAGGTGGAGAGGAGAGGTCTGAGCAGTCCCTCCTGAAGGACCTGCCGAGATGTAAGAAAAAGGCGTCTAGCTCTAACCTGCTACTCTCATCCAATTCCTATGCAACAAATGCGAAAACCGTTTAACCAAGATGCAACATAGAGACGCCCATTCCCAGACTTGGGACCACAGATGACCCGAGAGAGATCCGGATTCTTCAGCCTCCTCTCCTTTGGGGCAACCCATGAAAACACCCTGATTCTATCCTGCAGTTCCTTCCATTCACCCAAACATCTCAGCCTCTCCTGTGCCGGGGTCCTAGAGCTGGGAGGGCAGCTCAACGGACAAGGTCCCTGCGCCCCTGAAGCTGGCCGCCTGGCAGAGGTGGCATCTGGGAAGGACACAAGGTGGTCTCTGAGGGTGGCTACTCAGGAGGGATACGGTGACGGAGTGGAGAGGGGCCCTGGGAACTGGCATTGTCATTCATACCTGAGTGACGAGGAGGAGCCAGCCTTCACAGGACCCATCTACCTGGTGGGCTGGGAAGAACAGAGGTGGCTGGGAAGTCACCTTATCCCAGACGTAGTAAGCAAACAGCAGCTCCATGAGATTAACTGATGGGACAAGGTCTCCGACTAGCCACCAGCCTGTTCCTCCCGCTCGTCCCCAGAGCCGGTGGATACGCCATTAGGAATGTGTTGTGGAATCTAATGAACAAACTAAACTGATGAACAGAATAGATGCAGAGACACAGAAGCATGAAACAGACGGACGAATCACAGAAGGCAGGCAGGGATGGGGGTGGGAAGAGATGAACCAAAGACCTTGTATGCATATCTGCATCACCCATGGACACAGACAATGGTGCGGTGGAGGCTTGGGGCAGGGGGGGCAGGACGGAGGGGCCAGTGGTGGTGGTAGTGGGGGGAGCAAGTGTGATACTTTCAACAATAAAGATAATTTTCTAAAAAAAGAAATTAAACACATTTGTGTTTCTGCTCAAACACACATTTGTCATTTTACTTCAGTCCAGCCTTCAGCAGAAGACACAAGCCTGTGATAGACCCATGGTCGGCAAACTGCGGCTCTGTTTTGAAGAAGTGGCTTTAGAAGAAATTTAAATTTAAAAAACCTGACTCTCAAAAGGAATCTCCATCATTATGCTGTTGATGTTTGGCTCTGCTGACTAATGAGTTTGCAGACCTCTATCAGATAGACGCTGATAAAGGCTCCCGCTGACTAAGGGCTTGTCTGCTGGCCCGTCAGCCGCAGCTCATCAGCCAGGTGACTGGGATTCCCCCCACTCCCTCCCCTGGACGAGAGGCAGCTGTCTGTGGACATGAGACAGCGTTACTAGCTGTTTCCTAGTTTATGGTGCAAAGAAAGTGCAGAAGGATCCGAGATAAGGCCCATGTACTTAGTCATAACACACAGACTCAAAGTCCCGGAGCTGTTCACTTCGGGAAGGAGCACGTGACTCAGGTGGCTGGGCCCTGGGACCCGGTGAGGAGGGAGGGCGTGCCTGCAGCCTCCGGGGACAGGGTCCGGGAGGACTGCATCCTCCGGAGCCAGCCCGAACCGATTCCCCTCCGCGGGGGACCCTTCGACCAGACCGAAGCCTCACTCCGGTCCCTGACCCTCTGCTTAGGAAAGACGCTCCCACACCTGCACGCCCACGAGAATCCCCCGGGTGAGTCTTCACACAACCAAGATTGTTCAGACCCACCCCAAACCCAAAGGGATAGGGATCCCGAAGGCTGCAGCCCGGAGATCTCCCTCAACATTCAGCCGAGAAACCACTGGGTCCCCACGACTCTGCGTAACGGACTGGAAAGGAGAGCGGGGCCTCTGTTCTCCAGGTGCCTTGGGCTGTGCCCCTAAGAAAACCTCCACCCCCAGCCTGCCCAGCGGAAGGCGCCGTGGATCTCCCCGTGGCCTGTGAGGTCTGCTGTCCCCTCCACGCACACAGACCTCCACGCCGCTGGGGAAAGCTGCTCTAGTGGAGTGCGGAGGTCTGGTGGGCGGCCACGGGGAGGGTGACAGCGGACCTCACAGGCCACGGGGAGATCCTCACTTCACCTTCCCCTGGGCAAGCTTGGGGGTTAGAGGTTTTAAAGACCAGCTGGCCAGCCCCTTGGGAAGCCGCCTCCGGGCAAATGCTGAGCATCTCAGGCAGAGAATCCAGGAGAAGAGTCCTCACACCCCCTCACACACACGCCCACCACCAGCCCTCCACACCCTCTCACACAGCCCCACCACCCCGGGCCTGGCCCCGGCGCCTTCCCCACCAGCCTCTCTCCTGTCCTGGACGGCCAGCTGCCGCTTAGAAAGGGAAAAGGGAAAGAAAGGCGACCAAAACCGGTTTGGCTTAGTGGATAGAGCGTCGGCCTGCAGACTGAAAGGTCCCAGGTTCGATTCCGGTCAAGGGCATGTGCCTTGGTTGCGGGCACATCCCCATTGTGGGTAGGGGGTGTGCAGGAGGCAGCTGATCGATGTTTCTCTCTCATCAATGTTTCTAACTCTCCCTCTCCCTCCCTCTCTGTAAAAATCGATAAAATATATTTGGAAAAGAAACGAAAAGAGAGACGGTGGCTCGGCCCGGCGGCCAGCCCCGTCGGGACGCCGTGCCCGTCCTTACCTGGGCCTGGGAGGAAGCGCCTGCGGCTGGCCCGCTGGGAATCCCTCTGCTGCAGAGCTGCTGCCGCGGAGCTCGCTGGACTTTGGACGGAGATTGATTTAAAAGCTGATGTATTTAACAGGGACACATGGTCTGAGTTCAAGTGACCTCTGTCCTGCTCCCTGCCAGCTGGCTGGGCGCTGAGCCGGGCAAACCCAACGCACTGACCCATCGGCCTGCCTACCCATGCGTGCGGGATGCCACGGCGTGTCAGCCCCTCCCAGGCAAGAGGGGGGCAGAGAGGAGGGAAAGGACAGCCCAGGAGGGGTGCCTCTGCCTTCCCCGGGTCCTGGTCCCATCCAACGAGCACCCACACCCAGGAGCCCCCGCTGTCTCCCATCCCAAGGTCAGGGCGGAGGGCCACTTGAGCCCCATCATCCACTGAGGTCTTTTTGGGGCGCAGGAGCCTGGGCAGCCACCCCCGGGGGAGGCCAGGAGGCCGGGAGCCCAGGCAATGCAGCAAAGCCCCTCTCTGCCCATCCTTTCTCCCAGCACTGGGGTTCCCTCTCTCGCTCCCTGGAGTTGAGCAGTAAATGGCTGCTATCGCCCAGGCTCTCTTCCCCTGTTACACACTCTCTCCCGCCTGAGTGCTGCTCCTCTCCCGCTCCCTCTCCCTCTCTCACCTGAGAGCTGCTCTCCTCCACGGCCTCCCCGTCACACTCAGCGCCTCGCAGACAAGCCCGGCCAGGCGGTGGGAGGCCTCTCTGTGAGCAGCTCTCAGCCCCAGGCCCCGACGGCCCAGCAGCTGATTCCGATCAGCAGCACCCACACAGGCCACCCCGCTCCCGGCTCCTCTCCGACCTGGATCCTCAGCCCACACTGAAATCAGGGCGAGAGACGGCTCCAGGCAGCCAGGCGAAGCGAGCCACAGCCTCCCCTCCACCCACACTGCGAAGGCCCTGGTCTTCGCTGGGCCCGGGCTGCCCCCGACCCAGGCATGGCCAAGCCCCAGGTGAATAAATGCTCACAAATGACGGCCATGTGAGCAGCTAACTCAGTCAGGTCAGGTCGTCCCCACCTTGACCCTATGCCCCCCGAGCTCCGTAAGCCTTCCGAAGCCAAGGGGAGAGCAGGAAATCTGGGCTTAAAATCAGGACACCTGGGTTCAAATCCTGACACTACCACTTCCCAGGTGTTCGATCTAAAGTAACTTATCAGCACGGGCCCCGACCAGGGACCAAACCTGAAACCTGGGTGTGTGCTCTGACCGGGGATGGAACCTGCAACCTTTCCTGTACGGAACGACGCTCCAACCACTGAGCCACCCCAGCCAGCACTAGAGATTTCTTTCTTCTACTGAGTCAAAGCATCTCACCCTTCCACCCACAGGCCCTCACGGCTCCCTCGGAGCTGCCCTCACTCACTCTTTATACATCGCAGCCTTGAAATGCTGGAAGCCTGGACATTCGCCATAAACCTCACTCCTCAACGTGGTCTGCCTGTGCCATGAATTCAGGACCTCTCACCCTGGACCCTGGCCCATCTGTCAATGTCCCTCTTAAAATCAAGGGCCTAGCCCTAACCGGTTTGGCTCAGTGGCTAGAGCATCAGCCTGCAGACTCAAGGGTCCTGGGTTTGATTCCAGTCAAGGGCATGTATTGTACTTTGGTTGCAGGCACACCCCAATGAGGAGTGTGCAGGAGGCAGCTGATCAATGTTTCTCTCTCATCGATGTTTCTAACTCTCTATCCCTCTCCTTTCCTCTCTGTAAAAAATCAATTAAAAAAAATTTTTTTTAAATCAAGAACCTATCCCTGGCTGGTGTAGCCCAGTGGTTGGAGTCTTGGCCCTTGCACTAAAGGATCTCAGGTTTGATTCGGGTCAAGGGCATGTGCAGGAGGCAACCAATCGATGTATCTCTCTCACATCAATGTTGCGCGCTCTCTCTCTCTCTCTCTCTCTCTCTCTCTCTCTCTCTCTCTTTCTCCCTCCTCCCCCTCTCTCTAAAAACCAATGGAAAAAATATCCTTGGTGAGGAGTAACAGCGAAAAGCAAGGACCTGAAGGGGAACCTTTAAAGTGAGGTCACTGTTCTACAGCGTGAGTGTGGTGGTGGCTATGCAATTTCTACAATTATTGACTTTCACCAAACTGTACCCCTAAAACAGGTGGATTATATCACATGCAAATAGTACCATAATTTTAAAATTAAGGAGCATAAGTGAGTAATATTCATTCTTGAAATTTCTGAAATAAAAAAAAGTTGTATGACTCACACACACACAAAGAAAGACAGCCCTGCACTGGCCGGTCTGGCTCAGTGGACAGAGCATACACTGAACTGTTTCCCACAGGACTGGTTCCGGCCCTTCCTTCCCCCGGACGCAGCTGTTCGAGGCTGTCAGCTCTGCCCGGCCTCTGTTCCTGGTCTCATCTCCTGCTCCACAGTGACCCTGTGAAGAAAATTTCTTCCACGTCAGCTATCTGTTTTTAAAAAGTGGTTTTCTACATTTCACCCAGTTTTTCTACGAGCTTTGTAGAGGGCGGGTGTTCAGATGATCTAGTCTGTCATGTCTGAGGAAATGGTCCCACCATTTCGCAGTCACTTTGCCTCTCAAAGCTCCAGCTTTTTCTTCTGTAAAATACAGGTCATACTAATGACCACATAGTGTTTTTTTGTTTTGTTTTTTAAGTTTTAAATACATTTTTATTGATTTCAGAGAAGAAGGGAGAGGGAGAGGGAGACAGAAACATCAATGATGACAGGGAATCATTGATTGGCTGCCTCTTGCACGTCTCCCGCTGGGGATCAAGCCCGAAACCCGGGCATGTGCCCTTGACCGGAATCGAACCCAGGACCCTTCAGGCCGACACTCTATCCATTGAGCCAAACCAGCTAGGGCCTCATAGTGTTTCTTGAAGCCTTAAGGAAGGAGGCGTGTGTACATTCCCAGAACCAGGAAAGTGCCCAGTACATAATCGCGCTGTTAATGTTTCTGTAAGAACAAGCCCTCTTAATTTATGGGCACACCTGGTACGGGGAGGCTGTGGAAGTAAACGGGCTGCAGGTGCACACTGGGCACCTTCGGGCTCAGGGTATGTGGTGGCATTCTTGCCCACTCACCACAGTATTTTGTGCAAACGGTCAGAAACAGAAAACTGGAAAGACTTCTCAGCGCGCCCCAGTGTTTTCCCGCCGTGTCCCGCAGAGAAGTTAGTCACAGTTGTATAATTCACTAGGGTAAACAGCTGTGTCTGTCCACGGCGGAGTGACCGGCCTCAGGCCAGGCTCGCTGCCCAGGCTCTGCCCAGACTACCAAAGGTTGAGGGGATCGATACTCCAGCATACTTTTAGAAACTATCAAACATCATTGAGGGCAACTAAAGAAACCTTAAACAAATGGAGGTTATACCATGTCCATGGATTGACGCTTCAGCACTGTAAAGATGTCAGTTCTCTCCAAATTGATTTATAGATCAATGTATTTATTTATTTATTTATTTATTTATTTATTTTTAAACACATCTATTTGTTGTTCCATTTATATATGCATTCATTGGTTGATTCTTTTTTTTATTATTATTATTGATTTTTTTTTAAAGAGAGGAAGGGAGAGAGATAGAGAGCCAGAAACGTCGATGAGAGAGAAACATCGACCACCTGCCTCTTGCACACCTCCTACTGGGGATGTGCCCTCAACCAACGTACATGCCCTTGACCGGAATCGAACCTGGGACCTTTCAGTCCACAGGCCGATGCTCTATCCACTGAGCCAAACTGGTTTCGGCAGATCAATGTATTTACAATACATTGTTTGGTTATTTGGCCTTTGGTTGATCTGGAGTAACTAGTTCTGAAAAATAAGAAGAAGGAATGAGTTGCTCTACTGGGTAACAAGACAGTAGAGTGGCAGTAATTGCTACAGTCTGGGATGGACAGAAAGCAGACAAATGGACCAATGGAATATTCTAGAGAGCTTCAACACAGACCCATTCATTCAGATAAAACAGTTGATTCATGACAAAGAACAGAGGGAAGAGTGGTGTGTGTTTTCTTTTTTCAATAATTTGCTCTGATATATTCCTCTTGGGCTGTTTTATTTTATCCATATCATATGTATGAGATTCATCCAATTTGCTATGTGCAGTTGTTTATTTTCATTCTGGGGTTCCATTTATAAAGGGGGGGGAAGTAGGTTAAATTACCAGTTATAAGTACCTAAAAGATAAATCATAAGTAATTATATGAAAAAAATAATAATTAGAAGACAAATAATACTAATAAATAATACAGTAATTAATACATAATAATACAAGAATGAACTGTGTTGCCGTAGCCGGTTTGGCTCAGTGGATGGAGCGTCAGCCTATGGACTGGAGGGTCCCGGGTTCAAGTCCGGGCAAGGGGTGTTGCAGGCTCAATTCCAGTAGAGGATGTGCGGGAGGCAGCCGATCCATGATTCCCTCTCATCATTGATGTTTCTCTCTCTCTTTCCCTCTCCCTTCTTCTCTGAAATCAACAAAAATTACATATTTTTTTTAAAAAAAGAACTGTGTTTCGTGTACTCACAACTGTAAACCTACTTGTGCCCACCCATTACTGTCCGAATGTCAGGCAGCACTCGGGGGGATGCCTGCCGAGGTGGGATCACTGGCCTGACTTCCGGGATGCTGCGAGGTTCTAGCTCTTGAGCCAAGCGGTGGTCACACAGGTGCTTGTGGTTAACTCTGAGCTGTGTGTTTGGGTTCCATGCCCTGAAGGTATATGATGCCAGACCTTAATGAGGTTCAGCGCCGAGGCCCGTTAACAGTCATGCTATGTGCATAGCACCCGGGGTGCGCAGCAGCTCTCAGGCTGCCCGTGACCTGCCTCTGGCCTCAGCCGCCTCCGCCCTGCCCGGCGTGCCCGCGGTCAGAAGGGGTCCAGGGCTCGGCATGGCGTACCTCGGCACTCCTGGCAGGAACCTTTCCTCTACCGCAGTGCTTTTAATGTGATGACATTTCCCATCTTAACTATTTCTGTACACCAGGCGGCGGTCCCATGCACCCTTGCACCCAGTCCCATGCACCCAGCACCACATCCGTCCCCAGAACCGTCTCATCTCCCGGACCCAGAACTCCACACCCACTGAGCAGCCGCTGCTCATGGTCCGCCCTCCAGGCCCTGCCGACCGCCGTCCTCTCCGCCTGTGGGTCTGACTGCTCCCCTCAGGAGGGCGGAGCC